TTCAATTTATCGTTGAAATGGCATTTCCTCTTTTTTGATTTTTCCATCCCTAAATGGAAGTTAGTCTCCTCCAGGTATCTTCGGGACTAACTAGGAGATGGTGTAGTTGGGTAGCAGGGAGGGGTGCAAAGTTCCTGCCAATTCGCCTTCGCTGTAGACAACTTGCATGTGCAAAGTTTGCCAGCCGGGTGTTTTGGCGCGCTCAGCAGCAATTCCTATTGGCTTTCAAAAGCCAATAGGGGGAGTAGCACAGCTCATGCAAAAGTTGAAAAAAAACCCATCAAAAAAAGGTGCCAGAACACCGTTCTGAGTGTTCTATGAGAAAAAAAAAGCCCTGCAGATTAGTCTTCAAATATCGAAAAGGAGGACATGTAGGAGGACACTTTTCGAGGGAGGACAGAACTTAAAAAAGGAGGACTGTCCTCCCTAAAGGAGGACGGTTGGTCACCTTATTTAAGGGTCTGATCATCCATCCAGCTTTACTTAAACTGCTCACATTATGATGCTGTTTCAGCCCCCTCCCTCTTTTCTTACCCATAGCAGCAAATGTATCTCGCAGGTCCTCCTTGTCAATGATGCCATCTCTGTTCTGGTCAATAACAGTGAAGGCCTAGGAAGCAGGAGAGAAAGAAATACATTAACCAAGTTCATGCATTATATTAAACTGGCTTGTTGACCTATTCGCAATGGCTTGGTTCAACTGCTACACCAAGCAAAAAGAAACCACATAATGGCATAACATAATACATAAATCCAACATGTCGGGCTATAAAAAAATTACCTTCATCTCCCTGTCCTACCAGAAATGAACAGTTGCCAGCATCTCAAATTTGCAAAATAACTACTTCATAATAGCTTTTGGATTTAAATCTATATTTAAATCTCAAGACATATCTAAACTGACTATATGTGCGTTATGTAGTCACAACTTTTGCAAATCCCAATGTAGCAGAGTAGAGGCCTTCATTTCTTAAGATGAAGAGCAAGAAAGCTTTTTCTGTTTTTCTGTGAACTCGTTCATCACTTGAGGACTGCCATATCAAGTGGCATGTAATTAACTCACAGCAGGGTAAACTGGTGATGAAAATGTTTTGGTCACGTTGTTTTGGAGAGCAGCCAGTGGACAAAACCAGCAACGTGGGGTAGGTGGAAAGACAGGCAGTTGTGATGTAATAATTGAAGCCCTGCCTCTTTGTAGAACAAAAAGGTGGGACTTTGATCATAATGATACAAAGATCAGCTTGCCCGCTTTGACCTTCTCCCTCGTGGATGCCCTCAGCTGCAATGCTTTTTCTGTAGATGAAGTTCATGCCTTTAGTTCATTTAAATTTAAACTTATTCATGAACCTTTGATTAATTAGAGCAGGGATCAGGAATTTGATCAGTGATGGAAGCCTGCTGGAACCGTAGCCCAAATCTAAATTGAGGATCCAACATTGTCTGTTCCTGAACTGCGTTAAGAAAAGAATGTGTATGAAAGGAGAACTTGTACAATCTGCAACAGATATGGTTGCTGAATGTATGCATCTACCTACATTTATTACTTAATAATTATATAGGTGATATATAAGTGGAAAACTACATAAAACCCTACACTTGAACTAACAGTATGTAATTTCTTCCATTTCATAGCATAAGCATCTTTATGGTTGAGCCATATGGCCTGCCATCTTTGAGTTTGCACAAATATCCTCTCAGAAAGGATATTTCAACTTGACTTTGAAAACTGGTGTCTACCAGGCAGGAGAAATAATTGTGGGATTTTGAATAATGAGTAGCTTCTGTATCCCTCTCTCTTCCCAGTTCATTGTGCAAAGTCCTTCTGGCCTTCAGTGATGCAAACTGGATACAGCCTTTGATTTCAAACAACCACATTGTAACAGCAAAAGCTCAAGAAACCAATCAGTGAAAAATAACAGTAATTCAGTATTGTTGACCTAGCTGGTTACCATGCTAAGCCAGCTTTGAAAGAATCATCCTTGGCCAGACGCATGCAACATCAAGGCACAAATTGCGTTTTATCAATCGCAAGAGCTAGATTCATACAATACATTAATCCAAATTAAATAAAGCGATAGCTTATTGTGATACGCAAATCCAGCCAAAGAGATAACCATATAGAGCCAAAGAAAGAGGATCTGTTAGTGATTTTGGTAATCATCATCTTCACCATCAACAGTTAAAACTTGTATGCCACCGGGCGTTCAACAACTCTGGAAGGCTCCTAATAAACAAACTGCAATAAAATCAATAAAACTTAAAAGATGAGAAAGGTGATAAAGGGAGGGATCTCCTTCTTTTGCCCAGATCTTCATGGCTTTTCTAAACAACAGAGAAGTGGGCCCCATCTGGATCTCAGGAAGAACCTCATTCCAGAGAGCAGGGAACGAAAAATTAACTAGCTGCCGCTGAACCCTAGACACAAATAGTAGCTCACTTATGTCTGTGCATAGTTCAAGGCACTTGTAGTCATTCTTTAGCGCTCAGTAGGTTTACCGGACAATTTAAATTAAAGTATTTTAATAAACATTCTGGACTGGATATAAAAAAAAGACCTCAGTTGTTTGTCTAGTTGTCTGCTTATCTAGCAATGCAGTATAGGATTGGAGACACAAGTTAACTCCAGCTAGTGGGATCCTCCTCATCCTCCTCCCTTTTCTGCAGCTGTGCCCTGGAAACACCTGTCATTTGATAGCCTTCTTCGCTTCTGCCAGGAATGTGAACAACCTTAAACTGTCTCATGTTAAACCCCAAGCCCTCCCTAAGGGGACAGGTGGTACATTCTGAAGGGGCTGTTGATGAGGTCTCCAAAGGCTGGCAGACACTGGTGGCATTCACTCCTCCCCTCCTCTTTTGGGTATGCCCCCTCTTTTTTTCTTTCTTCTTTGTCTAACTCTTTCCAAATAGAAATGAAATGCTAGATTTTTTCAAATTGAAAGGGGCTGCATTAGTCAAAAAGTCCACCCTGTCAAGCAAGTCCTTGATGTCTTACTCAGAGGGAATGAGGCTCTTTAATCCAGGGGTAATGTTTGCTGTGTTGTCCAAACCTAGAATGGCTACCATTTAGGGTTCAGGAGAGTCAAAATGAATAATCTACAACCAGCCTGGATTTCAAATTCCACTTTTTAACACCCAAAAGCCAACACACCAAGCCTAAGGAATTGGTTAAGGAGAAGCATGTAAATAAAGATTGTGGAGAAACTGGGCTTGTTTTTCAGATTTTTCAGGCTCAGTATAATGTGTGAATTCAGTCCTGATCCAAAGAGCAATATGGATTCTCCACATTGTGAAAGAAGGGGAAACTATGATCTTCCAGAGAATAGGTAATAGGTGGGTAGAAGTTGCGTCATCTCAACAATCTAAACTTGTAATTTGGATGTTGGCTGGAGAAGTACCTCAGGAAGCTTTTCCAATGCATGTTAACACACACACACCCAACACACACACACAGAGGAAAGGTCCTAACTACTTTGGGTAGAAGCCGAGAGAGCTAAGGTAACATCAGCACCCCAGTGTCAGCAATGTATTCAGCACTTGTCTGTGGAGACTCTCACTCACCCAGGTCATAGTTGTCCCAAAGGAGCTTTTTCAAAAGGCAACTGCTCCGTTTTTTCCTTGAGGGAGAAAACATGTCGCTTCTTCATCACAACTGGTGAAGCTTCTTGGATAAGAAGTGAAACATCTTCTTCCTCAAGGAAAAAACACACCAGTTGCCTTTTACTCAGCACTTGCTGAATAATGGCGAAAAAGATCCTCTGCTCTGAGGAAGTTTGCATTCTAAATATAAAAGCAGAAAGGGATATTCTGAAGCAAAGTAAAGATAACTAGAAATCTTGATGGCAAACTTACCCTGTTTCCCACAAAAGTCTAAAAAATATTCTCGCTAGAAAAATACTGTGTATGACACACAACTTCATCCTGAGTCAGATCATCAGTTCATCCTCTTCACTGTTCTGGAGGGCAGGATCTCTCCAAAGACATCCAATCCAGTATGGAATTCAACAAATCCAGAGCTCAAAAAGCAGTTGATTGATCCCCGAAGAGGCAAACTGGCCAAGGAGAAATGAGTAGCTGAACCCAGGATTAAGCTGGGCTGCAAAAATCCTGATGGCTGCTAGATAATAGTCAATAATTGGGGGGTTTAAAATCCCTTTCCGCCATGTAGTGAACGTCCATCCAGATCTGGTATCCCTAGATCTAAATATCCAGATTGTTACTTCTGCTAGCCCGTATTCAAGCAACCTTCCCAAACTTCATGCCCTCTCATGATGTTACTTAAACTCATACTATTCCTGTAATGGAAGTTGCAGTTTGGGATTAGATACCTCATCTATTGCACGGGCCAATTTCACTTCATTAAAATAATGCCAACAAATGCCTATAGATTTCAGCAGTATAAACCTGGGGGCTCTGGGACCAAAGACTACAAGACTGTGTTTCCACCATGGATCTATCCAGTGGACTCTACCTCCACCAAGTAGACATTTAATCTTTTCACCCTTATGGGAAACGTAAAAATGGTAGAAGGAATGGTAGGAAGGGCAAAAGAATTAAAATGAAGGAAATCATCACTTCGTCCTCCTGAAATTCCATGATTACATCAGGACTATTGCACAATGCAGGAGCCCACCTGAAGCACCTGAAGACTAAGGGGAGCGGGGTTCTATCCTGACACAAAGATCTACAGGTGACCTTCAGTGTTACCAGTCTCACAGCATGCTTGTAGAGTAAGAAGTAAGGAGAAGGGGAGAAAGAAGGCAAGTCTGTTTTTTTGTGTTTTCTGAAGGAAGGGCAGGTAACACACGCAATTAAAAAATATATGCACGTTGCAAGAACTGATCTGTCCTTTCATATTTTTAAAAGCAGGAGGCCCTCAAAAAATAGAGAAGCACAAACATAGGTTGCAGGAAAAAGAAGAAAATCCAAAGTATCTTATATTGATAGTTTGCTACCAACTTCTAATGTAGCTTTGGTCTCCTTTATAGTAGATCGATGTCTTAAGACTGAAAGACCCACAGGCTTCATTTTCGATGGAAATGAGGAGGCTTCTCACCTCCTCCTCCTCCCAAACTAGCCAGCCAGAATGGGTTTCCAAAGATCTCCTTGTAAGGTTCTGCCATTTGCTTCATCCAAGCACAGATGTCACCTCTTTGCTCAGTCCTCCTTCACCCAAAATAGACCCTGCTGCATTGCAAGGGTCTTGGAAAGGAAACACCATCAACTTTGGGGTAGGGGTGTGTGGAGGGCTAGTGCCTGCCAAAGGGCAAAAAATGTTCCTCTGAAATGAAGATTAAGAATTTAAGTGCGAGGAGAAGAGAATATCTCCATATGGAAAGCTGGTACTCACTCTCACTTTTACAGATGAGAATTTCTATTCAAAGTCCAAATCAATTTAAAGAACAAGTGTCCTAAGGAGAATAACCTGGAATTACCCTTGGAAAGGAAAAGCAACTTTAATAGGAGGTAAAAAGCTGATCTTCCATGCACATTTAGTAGGCTCTAAGTTCCAAAGTAGGATTTTGTGGAGACACACACTCATAGTTGCTCATTATTTTGGCTCTTCCAAAATATGGCCAGGTTTACATATCATAATAACCCATTTCCCATGGTCTACAAACCCAATTTTTATCCTGCTTTACACATCACAAGAATTCATGGCTTGTTTAATCTTGACCTACTGAAGAAAACAAAAATAAGCTAGCACTCAGCCTACATATCATAGGGAGACAGAAGAACATTTTTGGAAAGAGTTGGTCCACCTATAATATCTATGGATTTCCACACTCTCTCTCCCTCTTCAGGATGTTCTTCACAATAGCCTTCCTCAAGATGGCACCTCAGGTGTGGCAAAAAATAAATCCCATTATCCCCAAACAACATCCATTCTATCTGTAAACAATGGAAGCTGTAATTCAACACATATTGGAATGGACAATAAAATTAGGAAAATGACTTTAAAACTTAGAAGTATTGAACGTGATTAACAATTAATAGAACTATACAAAAGGCAAAGGAAAGGAAAATTAATAAATGCTAGGCCTCTATTTGATGGCAGAATTTCAGGAACAAAGAATCCCTATTTTTGTAAAGGTTCAGACTCATATCAAACCACCAGTAGTCCTATACATGAACAGATACCTACAAGTGGATTCTTGAGGTAAATCATGTTCAAAAAAACTCCTCTATAACTTATCTAGACCTTTTCTATTTAGTCACTTCTAATTAGGTTCTCTTATAACGGCCAAAATTTCTGTGATTAGTCAACAATTTTTTTCAAAGGGAAAACAGAATCTGAATGGAATAGTACAAGAAGCTTTCTTTTTAAAGTTCATTCCTATATATTCACTGATGTAGTTAAAAATCTCCTAGAATGTCAGTTCTAGGTGGTGCTCCTAGGCGATGCTCATTGGGATCCAATCATTTACCCCAAAGTCATCCTTTAATGGCATCACTACATTTGTTATATTTCCTAATGACTGACACCTCTTCCCACATCCATCTTTGTTCTTGTTCTTACCTCTTTAAACTCCTGGATCTGCGTTTGGTCAAACATGGAGAAGACATTGGAGCTTCCTTCTGCTGCCCTTCTCTTTGCTTTCTTGGGTGCCTGGAAGACAAAGACAGGCATTCAAGATCAGGGCAACCCTACCTCCCATTTTTAAAGGTGAGAGTCTCTATTCAAAGTTGAAACTAGTTGAATGAAAAAAAAGGAGGGAACCAGTGGTACTGGGTACACCAAATCTTAGCACATCACTGATTAAGGAAGTACATAGGTCACCTAGTCACGGCTTCCCCTTTACAATTAAATGAATTATCCTTCAACTTAAATTGCAGAATTGATTTATAGTTTAGTACCTTTCTCTCTGCAAATGTGATACAAGTCAGCACCTTTGGTATGCATTTTCTCTTTTTTGATAATGTGTAAGCAGTCAATTCATCAGCGACACGAGAAGATCTTATTAAGAAAGAATTCCGACTGTGCAAAATTTCTAGTTACTTATTTGTCTGTTTTTACAAACAAATAAATGGCTTCAGTCACAGTAGACTGTAAGCAATACAACTGAGGAGGTTCAAGAATTTGATCTTGTAAGGCCATGCTTGATCATTTTCTACATTTTCTCTCCAGGGGCCGAGAACCCTACTAAATGACAGAAAATATTATTTACTAATAAAGGAGAATATTTGTAGCTCAGGGTTGACATGAGGGGTCCTTGGTGCTCTCTGAGCTTGCTTGTTTTCTTGCAGATGTTTCATTTGCCCATTTGTTAGCACTGATGATATTACCTAGTTTGGGTAATGAAACATCTGCGAGAAAACAAGCAAGCTCAGAGAGCACCAAGGACCCCTCAAGTATTATTTAGTTTAACTTAATAATTAAAACTTCCTTTAATTGTCCTTTTATGTTAGATGTATATCTTCAAAACAAAGTATTGTTAATATTTGTTGTTTTCTATAAATACAAGGGAGGGGAGGGATTAATCCTCAAGGAAAGCTCAACAAACATTTTTTTTCCTGAAGCAAAAGTCTGAAAATTTGGAACATTAAAGAGAAACATTAATGTTCGTTATTTTAAAGAAAGAGTATACTTTGGTTTGAGAAACAGCAGAAGCAGCAACTCTCGCTTTCAGTCCAAATATGGAATTTAATGTAACTTTTCAAAGTGTTCATTTCATGTTTGTAACAATTAATTTCCACAACTTTTTAGGTAACCATGTTGTATGTGGGTATTATACGTTTAATCTTCCCAAAAATCATTTTGCAAGTTTTAAGTTAATAATATATAAGTAATGTATTGATAAAATAAGCAGGGATCTTTAATCTCTGTTAAAATGATAGCCTGGGCAAATAAAGCATATATGAACAAGCCCAATTTGGTGCTTAATGACAACTGTTTCAGATAATAGCACTAATCCACAACTGGTGTACCTAATAGGAAAGACGGGAGGGGGCAGACTATATCCAATACAGTCCCATAAATAACTCCAGGTGGTTTCGCAAATCTATCTCATACATGAAAAGAAAAACATAAAATGATATTTTACCTTCTTTCTCTCTCAACCTTGTCAACTATGTCTCCTGAACAACATTATTATATACGGAATATATAGGATTATGATCTATATCCCAGGAAGCTATTTAGAATCACTGTGATTATTTGGAGATAATCTCAAGAATCTCCTTTCTATCTTCAGTGTGGTGCTCTTTCTTGATCCTCAACTCTTGGAAACTGATATGTGTGTTACTTCTGGAAAAAACTAAAAGTGTGACAGGGATGGCAATGCAAAAACGAAACGAGAACCTGAAGATCCAGATGATCCAAGTGGGTCTCTCTCATGAATTGAACCAAAGCAAAAATAAGAACTTTGGGATATTGGCTACAGATAATAGATGCATCTCAGTCCTCTAATCACACTCAGTTGGCTAGATTCTCTATAAAAACCCAGTACAATTTTGGAAACCCTTATAGCAAGGCACAGAGGCATAGCTAGAGATGATGGGATTGTAGGCTGGAGGCCTCAGGTGGAGAAAGCTAACATATATCTGCATGCTGACAAACTAATCTTTTTGCATCAAGAAATGAGGTCCTGAGAGATTCAACAGTCCAAACGATTGTGGGTTGTCTTCTCTCCATGGCCAGACTTACAGGAATGTTCTGGAAGGATTGTTCTAAAAACACAACTTACAGTATTCACCCACTCCTACATTTCCTCTGATGTGGCTTTTCAGAGGAGAGATACACCAGGCATACAAAGAAACATCAAGGGTGAAGGAATAATAAATGTATTCCTTGTTTCTCATTTGGGGAAAAAAAAAACCAGACAGGTTGCAACTTCCTTTGTCTGGATCTTGTGGTGCCTTGAGGAGTCTGACTCAGAGGCTCCTGTCTGCTCAACAGCTGTCCAGCCACACTTTGTTCCTTTTTGAAAAAAAAAAGTCAGACAAAAAACCAAAATGTGTGTAATAAAACTTCCTGCTATGTTATTCAAGAAAAGCATTGTGCAATTATTCAGGGACTTGAAGGGCTTCACCTGCCAGATTGAAGGCGCAAAGCCAAGTATCGCCAAGTATTAGTGAGCAGGAAGATGGCTTGGCATAGGATATGTGTGCAAGATCAGATCCATTTCAGAAAGCAAAGAAAATGAGACACAACCATAGATGTTGAATCATCACCCATAGGCAGTAATCTGAGAGTCTGCATGCCTTCAGCTCTTCCAAGTTCTCTTCCCCATCTCAAAACAGCACAGATGCCTTTGGATCCTCATAGCCCTCCCTGTCTCTCTAACAGCGCCAAAGCTTCCTCTTAACACCCATATTACTTTTGTCCAGATATTTAAAAAAAAGCCCTAGCTGAAAATACTTAAAATTCACTCATGTATGTAGAAGAAAAAGCTAAACTGGTGGATTTTTTTAAAAACAAAATTGCCTAGAGAACTTTTTTTTACCTCTTCTACATCTTCCTTTGCTGATTTGATCCTTCATCAAGAGCATTTGAGAAGCTGCTCTATTCCAATGCTTGACTTAAAAAGCAGATCCAGAGACGATTCAACTTTTTTTTAAAAAAAATCTCGGTGCTGTACATTTCCCGCTAGTTTGGACTGAGATGGGCCCCTGATTTCCTTAGACATCTACTACACTCTTGCCTGCACACCCAATTTTTTCCTCACTTACCATGTTTTCTCAGTGGGCAGGTAGATGGGTGAACAGCAGCTGTGGATGCGATGGGGATGTCCCAGCGGCCAGAAGGGCAAACAGCCTAGACACTTGGCTGTGAATTCCCCTGGGGTTATATAGGCTCCCTCGGTGGGAGGCGGGACAGCTAACTATAGACACATCTTCAAGTTTGGGTGGGTGGAGGATGGGGGTAACTAGAAATAGACTCCAGAGGAACCAAGTCCTTTCTTGGAGAGAGGGTAGGTCCATTAGGTTTGATGGTCCATAATTCAACAGCCTTTATTATTCTGGGGATCAGTGGTAACCCAGCTCCAAATCCAATGGGGATGAGCTCACACCCCACACAAACCCATACTGTGGTTTGCTCGTTTATGGCTTGCCAATCTACCAATTAACCATGGTTCTGCAAACATGCTTTCAGTCAATATAGGAACCCAGTCAGAGGACAAGTCCTTGCTCAAAAATTAACCCATGGGGGCCTGAAGAGGAGAGGGGAAAAAAAAAGACACTCACACAAACACAACATCTCTTTAAATCTTACACATTTAGAATTCATCACAGCAAAAATCTGGGTAGGAAAAAAAAAAGTGTCGAAGAATGTCAGAGATCCTGAATGACCTTCAAGTAAGTTTGTCAGATTTGATTGATCGGGATTTGCCAAGTTTAAAACAACTTTTTCAGTCTGAAATTTAAGCCCTTCCATGGATTTTAATGCTTGCTGGCTAATCTTTAACGAAGGCTCTAGACATTCACTAGCATGATTGGACAGCTCATCCCTAATATGCTGGCCTGGAAGTTCGTACTGGACCGAGCATCGGCCTTCTTCCTGCTTAGGACACCTGGATGGCAGTTTCCATTGATCCCCTCTTGTTGAGACACAGGAAAGCTTCAAACATCAGCGTGGAAGATCCCGCATGCCAAGAGAGCTTCTGTATTCCATCTTCTCCCTTCCTTTCCTCCCTCCTTCCCTCTGAGCTCAAGGTATCCAATGTCCCTGAGAAAATTTCCTTTTGGGGATCACTGGTTCAGCTGTCACTGGGAGACACTCAGACAAGAGCAGAGGCTCCTAAAGATAGCTATTAGAATTTCTTCCCTTGCTTCACTATAGGCAGGCTGTCCACTTACACGCATCCTCTATTTCTTCTCTGAAAGAACTCCAGTTATCCACACTGGCTGGAGTCACCCATCCATAGTTTGTTTTAACCACGAGTTTTTGAACTGACTGCTATAGAGTGGTTGGATATGTACAGGTAGTCCTCGACTTACATCCACAATTGAGCCCAAAATTTTCTGTTGGTGAGACATTTGTTAAGTGAGTTTTGCCCCATTTTACAACTGTTCTTGCCAAACGGTAAATCGCTGCAGTTGTTAAGTTAGTAAAACGATTGTTAAGTGAATCTGTCTTCCCCACTGACTTTGCTTGTCAGAAGGTTGCCAAAGGGGATCCCATGACTCCGGGGCACTGTGACCATCAGAAATATGAGTCAATTGCCAAGCTTCTGAATTTTGATCATGTGACCACGGGGATGCTGCAACAGCCATAAGTGTGAAAAATGGTCACTTTTTTCAGTGCCGTCGTAACTGTGAACGGTCACTAAATGAACTGTTGTGAGTCGAGGACTACCTGTACATTATGCTACAAGATCAATCAAAGTTTACACACCACATTCATATATTGTGCTAGTCCAGAAAAAACAAACCCTTCTATTGCTCAGCAGGATATGTAAAGTCAGTCACATGTCACAACACCAGCAAATGAACACAAAAAGGGGGAAACTGAGGAAAAACGGTTCGCAGCTCAGTTTCCTTCTTAATTTAGAAATCGGCAGCCGGGAATCTTAGGGAGAGATCCAGCCTCCTGGGTCCTACACTGCCACTCGAGGGGAAGAGATGCACAAAGACAATGCTGTTCATATCAAAACATCA